TGTGCAGAGATGTAGAAAGAGAGAGAAATAGGACATGGACTCACACGAGAACAGCAGCTGAGTGAAGGTCCAGTCCGACTGACTGAATGAACCAATTGAATGAATGACCAACCTGGGCTCGGCCTAGGCCGGAGAGATATATCGGCCTAGGTCTAGGCCGGAGTAGCCCGTTACCGGACCGGGGTGAGGCCGACGGCCTGAAAACGGTCCGGCCTCACTACCGGGCCGAAAGGGTACTGCTATATGATCCTCGGACCTATAAATGGATCAAGCGATACATCAACACGCTATCTGCCGAAATAGTGGAAACCCTGAGGAATGATAATGAAACAATCCTAAATGCGGAGCAAGCTCCGTGAAGAAAAAGAGATGCAATGCAAAGTTGCAAACTAAGCCTCAAGCCTAATCTATACAACAATGCCTGGTCTGAATCGACCAAAAAAACAGAAAAATGTCTGACCTGTGTCGGCCAAGAAAGAGAGAAATGTCTGGTCGAATGTCGAAGCCAAAACCGGGAGATGATGTATAAGTGTCCATGAATGGTAAAAGATAGAGAGCGAATAGGGGGTAAAGATCAATCACGATAGCGAGAGGGAAGTCGATGGGTATGCTGAGGGCGAGAGGAATCAACTGCAACAATAGGTAAAACCACATCCACGGGGGAAAGAGGACCTGAGGCAGGTACTGGTAGGGTGAGAGGACCCATCGATGAAGGAGGGGGAATGTTAGTGGTCACTGAAGTAGATGGGTCAATAAAAGGACGAGAAGTAGGAGAAGAGGATGATGAAGGAAAAGGATGATCACGATCGGAAGCACGAAAGTCATAGCATGCTTCGGGTGCTCGAGAGGCTCCCAAGTAGACTCCTCGTCAAGGTAACCCTTCCATCGAACGAGATACTCGAGGCGGGGAGGGTTACCATCAGTCATACGTCGAGATACGATATCAGAGACGACAAACTCCTCGTGACCTTCAATGATGATGGGAGAGGGGCGAGGGTAACGTCGACCGTGGACCTCGGGGGGAGACCGTTTGAAGGGGTGCAATAGAGATACATGAAATACATCATGTAGGTTAGCGTGATACATGGAATCGGGGAGCTTCAATTTGAAGCTCACCGGACAATCATGATTAGGTCCGACTGGTGAAAGAATAGTGCATGGAACGATATATCGACGCCTGAATTTTCAAAGTGTGTCGGCCTCGGGTTGGAAGTGACGTGTGTCGACAAGGACTTCGTCGCCAACTTTAAAGAGGTGGTCGATGTGAGAACGGTTGGCGCTAGTAGCCATGCGAGTCTGGGAGTCAGCAATGCTCTTGCGAGCGTTCTTGAGAATCCAATCCATCTCC